TGAACGTGGAACCTATCGGACAGGTTCCTGGATTCTCCTGAGCTGTTTGATGATTTTATGTCTTTGGACAGAATAAAGTGATGGTTTAGTGGTTACTGCTGTGGTTTTAGAAGACTCTGTGTTATTTGGGGAGCATTACGTGTCTTTGTTTGCTTCTTTTTTTTTTTTAAATGCTGGTGTTTCTGAAGTAATTGTGAAAATGTAGGTCGTGCTTCTTGGTTCTATGCTTCTTCTGCATAGAAGTGGGAGGTTGTACAGCACATATGCATGGAAAAATGAGACTGTTGACCTATTTTTAGAATCTAGTTCTGCTTTAGGTGACATAATGAAGAGTGAGTAGAGGTTTTAAAAACATAAGTGTCTGCTTTTTAGTATAAATTTGCATTTTATCATTAGAGAGCGTGCTAGCATCAGCATTGGCTGTTAAAAAGATGAATCCCGATAATCTTTTGCATCGCAAATTAATGTCACAGAAGCCATGCACTAGGCCTCAGACAAGGTGTTCAATCAAAGTGAATGAAGACCCTGCTGACCTTGGTGCCCACAATGTAGATGCAGCAGACCACAATGCCAAGTTTAGCTCACATGACCTGCAACTTGAGTGCCAATAAATCCGGTCAAGTAGATTTATGCTGTCGTCATAGGAATGCCCATTCCTGCAGACTGACATCCACCCATCGAGGCATTTTGATATTTGCCTAACTTTTCCCAAGAGCCAGTGCACTGCTTGCATCAGGGCAGAATGCTCTTTGGAAGAATACAGAGGTAAGGTGTTGTGATGTTTTCAGGAAGCTATGTACAGCACCTTGCCGACCCTCCCACCAGCAATGTTCTGCCTGCATTGCATAGAGAAGCACACAGACCCAATTATGACATCCTTTGGCCTAAAGTAAGGTATGTAATGAAACAGAAAGGTGAAATAATTAGCATATTGAAGGGAGGGAAGAAAATTAAACGTCCAAACTTTCTGTTTAGGGTAGAGAATGAATTTTATGTGGCTGCACATTTTTCTAACCACATTTC